GAGACTATTCTGATGTATTTAGCAAAGATTTAGGGTGCTGCTCTGGTACCCCTATTTCATTCAATGTAGACCCACAGGCAACTCCCATCCGCCTTAAAACACGTAGGGTTCCTTTTGCTATCTGCCCCAAATTAGATTTAGAGCTAGACAAATTACTAAAGCAAGGGGTATTAGAACCAGTAGATTTTGCGAGATGGGAGACCCCCATTGTCACCCCACTTAAGAAAGATGGCAGCGTGAGAATCTGCGCAAACTACAAGACTTCCCTCAATAGATTCCTACAAATCAGCGCCTACCCTGTCCCTGTCATCCAACATCTCTTACATACCTTTGAGCCTGGGAGTATTTTTGCAAAATTAGATATGTCCCAGGCCTACCAACAGTTCCCTGTAGACGACCAAACTGCAGAATTACAAACCATAGTCACCCATAGGGGTGCATTTAAGTGCAAGCGTCTCCAGTTTGGCGTTAGTGTAGCCCCTGGGATTTTTCAATCCCTATTGGAGAGGCTTCTCCAAGGACTCCCAGGCATAGTCCCCTATTTTGACAACATTTTGGTTTCAGCTAGAGATAAAACACAACTAATTCATAGAGTCAAAGCAGTCCTAGACTGTTTTAGGCAGCATGGCCTTAAATTTAAAAGGGACAAGTGCACCATCGCCACTAAGCAAGTGGACTTTCTATGCTACAGAATTGACACCTCTGGTATTCACCCATTTGAGTTCAAAGTCAGGGCTATCCACGAGGCACCCACACCTTCCAACAAGACTGAACTCCAAGCCTTCTTAGGGCTTCTAAATTTCTACGCTGCATTCCTTCCACACAAACCATCTATAGCAGAACCTCTGCACAGACTTTTAGATAAACAATCCCCCTGGCATTGGGGACCAAGGGAAGCCCATGCCTTCAAATCCGTCAAGTCCTTGCTCACATCTAATGCAGTTTTAATTCAATTCAATCAGCAGCTGCCCTTAGTCCTGGCAGCAGACGCATCCCACTTTGGTATGGGGCAGTCCTGAGCCACAGGCTCCCCAATGGCTCTGAGGCACCAATTGCCTTCTTCTCAAAAACTTTCTCTGCAGCAGAGCAAAACTACAGTCAAATTGATAAAGAGACTTTGGCTGCAGTTGCTGCTGTAAAGAAGTTTCACAAATTCCTTTATGGTCACTACTTTGAACTTATAACAGATCATAAGCCACTTTTAGGCCTCTTGTCAGGGGATAAGCAAACCCCACAGGTCCTGTCCCCAAGGATGACCAGGTGGACTCTGTTTCTGGCCGCCTATTCATACAAGCTGGTGCATCGCCCAGGGAAGAACCTGTGCCATGCAGATGCCCTCAGTCGTTGCCCTCTACCAGTGCCAGTCGAAGACCCTGCGCCCATCCACGCCATTTTTGAGGTCAACGAACTCAACCTGCCTATCACAGCTGAGGACATTGCCACTCACTCCAGAAGGGACAAGGTAACCGCCCAAGTCCTGGACTGGGTGGGAAGGGGGTGGCCTGCAATTCAGTACACCCCTGAGCTCTTGCCATTCAAGATTCGCAGGCAAGAGTTGTCATCCCTACAGGGTTGTTTGCTGTGGGGGACAAGGGTGGTCATCCCTACTAAGCTACAAGAGCCAATCTTAAAGGTCCTGCACGAAGGCCACCCAGGCATCGTGAGGATGAAGGCTCTGGCCAGCAGCTATGTGTGGTGGCCAGGCATAGATGCCCAGATCTCCAGTTGGGTAAGCACGTGCCAGCCATGCCAAGCAACCAGACCAGCACCTCCTGCAGCCACTCCTACCCGGTGGGAGGATGGTGGGGCCCCTTGGTCTCGGCTTCACATTGACCTGGCAGGCCCTGTGCATGGGCAGACTTTCCTAGTCATAGTGGACTCTTTCTCTAAATGGATTGGCCTGGCTCTGCTTCCTTCCACAACCACGCTGGCTGTTACGAGAGCCCTGACCAGAGTGTTCGTCACCCATGGCCTCCCTGACACCCTGGTATCTGATAATAGCCCCCAGTTCACCTCTTGTGAATTTGAAGTTTTTGCAGCCAATCTGGGCATCAGGCATGTCCTCACAACCCCTTTTCACCCTGCAAGCAACGGGATGGCTGAAAGGGCAGTTAGCTTAGTAAAGGAGGCTTTAGCTAGGTTTGGCCAAATTGATTGGCACTCCAAACTGTCCAGATACCTTCTGACCCAGCACACAACCCCCTGTTCCACAACCAACAAGTCACCTGCAGAGTTACTGATGGGCAGGCGCCTTAGAACCACCCTAGACAGGTTGCACCCCCATTACGCCCCTGGCACTCCTTTGGGCTCTGATAGCCAAGCCAGGGAATTCACCCTGCATGACCTGGTCTATGCCAGGAATTATGCAGGGGACCCATTATGGGTACCAGGACAGGTTATATCAGTTACAGAGCCTAAGTCCTACAGGATCCTCCTGGACGACGGTCGTATGTGGCACCGACACGTAGACCAGCTGAGGTGGTGTTGGAGAAGGACTTCAGATGACTCCCGCATCCCGCCAAGCGGCCTGGTCTACCAAGCGAACACCAACGGCCCCCAGCCAGGCGAACCGGTCTACCCATCAAATGCCAAGGGACCGGTCCCAGGGAACGCATAGGGTCCGGTCTATCCAGCAAGCGCTGAGGGTCCGGTCTACCCAGCAAATGCCGAAGGTTCCCAACCAGACAACCCAGTCTACCCAGCAAACGCCGAGGGTCCGGTCTACCCAGCAAATGCTGAAGGTTCCCAATCAGATGACCCGGTCTACCCACCCAGCCTAAAGACGCGCCCGAAGCAAGCCGAACGAAGGAACCTACCTGGACCACCGCTGGACACTCGGACTAAGGCTCCTGTCGATCAAACTCGTGCTCCTGGGGTTTCCAGGGCAATCCAAGGGGCAAAGGACTCTGCCCAAACAGGAGATCCTCCGGGACTAAGACGGTCCAGCCGCCAGTGCAGGTGACCGACCTATTTGCAGGACTACACATGCTCCTGGCCAGGGGAAAGGAGTGTTGTATTCACAGAACTGACAGAAGTCCCCACTTCGGTCCGCCGTTCTGGCGGGAGCGCCGATCACTCCCATTGGCTGATGCTGTTTGACAGACAGCTATAAAAGGAGCTGTCAAACGGCATCAGCTGTTGCCGCCAGCTGATCTGCCTGTTAGCCTCGGCAGCCGTGGCAACCCTTTATTCACTGAATAAAGCCTTTTACCGTTCGCTCTGTGTTAGCCTCGTATCTTCCGCCGCTCTACAACACCAAGAGTCCCAGCAGATGTTCAGGTTGGATGGCACTCAACATGCAATAGAGGAAGAGCTGAAGATTTTTTAGAGTACTAATGGAGTTTATGATGTGGCCACATTAAAGTCTTTGGGATATCTGATTGCTAATGTTGCCATGGATGAAAAAAAAATCTAAAGCTGCAAAGACAGGGGAACATGAAAATAGTACGAAGCATCAAGTTGGGAAAGCTGTATACAGTGAAAGATGAAATGAATCAACTACACATTGACATTTTAGCCATCACTAAATTGAAATGGAATGGAATTTGATGTTTTCATACAAAAGATCATATTGCTTACTACTCAGGACATGAAAAACAGAGAAAGAATTGCTTTCAGTAGATAGGAATGAGGCCCAAATGAACAGATTCAAATTGTCATATTTTGGACATATCATGTGATGGCCTGATTCTCTTGAAAAATCTTTAATGTTAGAAAAGGTAGGAAGAAAGAAACAAAGAGGATAGCTAGCAAAAAGGTGGATACACTCATTTGCAATGGCAATGGATACCTGGTTAGAAGACAGAAAAGACCAGATTTGGCAGAAAACTTCTTAAAGAAAATCTCCAAGAATCAAAACCAATTTGTTAACATATAATCAGTCAGTATCCTCACCAGGAGTGATTATGAAGATTAGCTGTTGTGTCCAAGGTATCTTCCAATATCCTAGTTCTAAAGGAAATAAAGTCACTAACTTCTAATTTCCTCTTCTAATTCCAGTACAACATTATAAGAGCAAGTGTGTTTCCCAGAAGCTAACAGCAACATAGGCAGCACCAATGGGCTGAATGGTCTTTGGTGGGGAAAGAGAAGTAATAATCTCTGTTTAGAAAGAAAACCAAACATTGTGATAATTTAAAAAGAAGTGAACTAAAGAACAAAATTGGTACTATTCAGAACTTCTGGAAAGAGACTGGATGGACAGTTGCAGATTGTGTAGAGTGTTTTTAGGTGAAATTGGCCAAAACAACTTTAGGCTGTAAATTCTTAAGAGAACTCTGATGGGAAATTAGTCTGTTGTTTTCAGTTTGCTGATTTCTTGTTACTTCGTATCTTCTGGCAAATATAATACATAAGGGCTCTAAATTCAGTCCATGTCTATTCTAACATATATTAATGTTACAGTATCTATTCTGTTGAATTTTTGGCAATTTAAAAAAAAAGGAAATACCATATGTGAAATTATATTTCTCCCTAATCATCACATACTGTAGATTTGTTACACACCAAACTGCTTCATTTAACTCTCCTCACACAGAGAGATAATTACTTGTGAATTGGCAGGGGACATGTTATATATTTACTGAGAAGAATGAAAAATGGGCAAAACAGGCAAATGAAAGAACAAAATGACTTCAGCTAAAAAAGGTGCTCTGGAAGATTGATTATTGTTTGCAAAAGGGCACTTGCTCACAAATGCCACTGCCCTAGCTGAACCTCTAAGCACAATCTATGAGGTATCTTTCAGAACCAGTTCCTTGCCCGACATGGTCATTAGCCATGGTCATACCTATTTTTAAAAAGGGAGATCCTAGTCTAGTAGAAAATTACAGATGATTGATCACCGTGTTGCGTCACCTGTAAAGTCATGGAATCAATTATAAACCAATCCATCACACACACACCCCACTTAGAAACAAACAACCTGCTTTCTAACAAGCAGTTTGGTTTCAGGAAAATTTTGTCCTGTAATCTGCAACTCCTATATTGCAGAAACATTTGGACCACACATTTTGACCAGGATAAAGCAATAGACACAATTTACATAGACTTCTGCAAAGCCTTTGATTCAGTGGTGTATGACAAACTACTGCTGAAACTTAATTCTTATGGCATCTCCAGATCCCTGCATGTGGATAACCATGTTCTTGTCAAACAGGCAACAAATGGTCAAAATAGGGAGGGCCCTATCAAATTCAGCATAATAGTGGTGTCCCCCAAGGCAATGTCTTAGGACCCTCACTCTTTCTGCTTTACATCAACAACCTATGTGATCACATTAAAAGCAGCTGCATCCACCAATGATGTAAAATCATTTAACACCACCGATAATGCTGCTGCCCTACAAAGTGACCTAGATTTTGTGTCAGAATGGTCGTGTAATTGGCAATTCCAAATTTCAACTAACAAATGCTCTGTCCTCCACATTGGCAATAAAAACCAGAATACTAAATACAAGTTAGGCAGAAACGATCTTCTAGATGACCCACACTCTGTCAAGGACCTAGGACAGTATTAGCAAAACTTTTTCGCATTGCATGCCAAAACAGGAGAGTGCACACCCACGCGCAAGCCTGCATGCCAGAAACCAGAAGAGCACCTGGTTTCCGGCACGCCCCCCACCCACCTAGTCTTTCAGTTTCTGGTGCACATGTGTGCACAAAGACCAGTTGGCCAGTGCGCATGTGCATGCTGGAAAGCAGAAAAGTGCTAATGAAGTGCCTCACCCCACCCGCCACAGAGAACAAGCCAGCACAGCCCCCATCTCACCACTTTTGCTAAGGAAGTGTGACTGCTTCCCAACTGGCATGCCTCTTACCCTGGCATCCAACAGACATTCCTCCCAAAACAGGCACATAAAAAGGATAAAAAGGAAATCAAAATCCACCCGTCATCTCAGCTATATGTGCAACAGGGATGCCCAGGATGCGGGCACACACCTCCTGTTGCTGAGTCACCAAAGGCTTTGTCAGGGCCAGGAAGAGTGCAGCCCCCCGCTCATGCCACTTCTGCAGAGCAAGGGGCAGGAATGACCAGCCAGCTACCACAGCTGCTCCCCCACTAGTGAGCCAGGTCTTTGGTGGTGTCTCCCCCCAGCAGTGGCAGGAGCCAGCCAGGCACTCTGGACTGCAGATGAACTTCACTTTACAAAGCACAGTTCAGGCATACCTCGCTTGGCAAGCCAGAGCTGGATCACTCCACAGCTTGCCAGCCAAGAGTCCTGGCTCCAATGGAGAGGTGAGGTCCCAACAAGCCCAAATGGAAACCCGCAGGGAACATGGGTGCCCTGGCAACTTCTCTGCTGCCAACCGAGCCCAGCTGCTAAGTGTGCCATGGAGTTCCTGGCTTGGTGGCAGCAGCGGCGACTGCTGGGCCTCCGGTTCAGCCAGCCAGCTTGGTGGTCTGCCTAGGCTGGGAAGCTCAATTCTTTCCCCAGTGTCAGAATGGCCCATCTTTCCACCCAGAGCAGCACGGGGGGCAGGCAGCCAGGGGTGAGGGGCAGTTCAGTTCTATTCCCAGTGCCAGAATGGCTTGCCTTTCCACCCAGAGCAGTGCATGCAGGGTGGCCGGCCAGGGGTGAGGGGTGGCAGTGCACAGGGCAGCCAACCAGGGGCAAGGGGCAGGTCAGTTCTTCCCCAAGAGCCGGAATGGCCCTCTGAACACCCAGTTTCCCAGAATTGTCAGGCTGCATGGATCAACCCAGCCTCCTTTGCCCATTTCAACTCAGTCCAGGGTGTGGGAGGAAGCATAAGGAGGTTGGGGGAGGGGAGATGGAGGGATGCACATGGATTAACCCATGAAGTACTGACAGTGCACCTTGGAGCAGTGGCAAATGTGTGGGTTCACCTTTCCACCCAGAGCCACATGCTCTGCAGCCAGCCAGGGTCGAGGGGCAGCAGTGGTTCTCATGCTGCCCCTTCTGGCTGGAATGCTGGAGGAAGAGGAGGCAAGCTGCCCAAGGAGGGCTGGCCAGTCACTCCTGTCCCTTGCCCTGCTGCCCCCACCACCACTGCTCTTCTGTAGCGCCCAAGCCGACCAGGTGCTCTAAACCATGGTTGCTCATTGGTGCTGCGGGCTGGAGAGCTGAGGCCATGCAAAAAGTCCTGGCCCAACTCTCTAGGCTGACAGCTCTACTCCCCTAGGAAGCGACTGCCAGAATCCCCTCTCCTTGTCTTTGGGCATGCGAGTCATCACCTGTTGTTCTTCTGGGTTCCGGCATGTGCTTGTGCCTCAGCCAGCTTGTCTTTGCATGCACATGCGCATCAGAAACTGAAGGGTTAGATGGCCAACATGCCAGAACCCCAAAAAGCAATGGGCAAAAGCTCTGCATGCCTGGAGAGATAGCCCTGCATGCCACTTACAGCATACATGCCATAGATTTGCCATCACTCACCTAGGAATACTTATCTCAAATGATCTAACCCCAGAGCCCACTGTAACAGCATTGCCAAAAAGCATTAAGAGTTGTTAACCTTATTTTGCGAAGCTTCTTCTCCGGTAACATTGGATTGTTAACTAGGGTATACAAAACCTTTGCCAGACCAATTCTTGAATACAACTAGTCCGCCTGGAACCCATACTGTATATTTGACATTAACACAATTGACCAGGTTCAGAGGTATTCCTCGAGAAAAGTACTCCACTCCTTTACTCGCAGTAGAATTCCCTATGCCTCCAGGCTTGAAATTTTGGGCTTTGACAATCTAGAACTGTGCCGCCAGCATAGTTCACAAAATTGACTGCTATAACATCGTGCCAGTCAATGGCTTCTTCAGCTTCAACCACAATAATACACAGGCAAACAATCAATACAAACTTAAGGTAAAGTGCTTCAAACTCGATTGCAGAAAATACGACTTCAGCAACAGAGTGGTCAATGCCTGGAACACTCTACCCAACTCTATTATTACAGTCTCAAACCCTCACAGCTTCAATCTCAAACTGTCTATTGTTGACCTCACTCCATTCTTAAGATGTCCCTAAAGGGGGCATGCATAAGCATAATAACATGCCTACCATCCCTGTCTTACTATTCCCATTTATCCATATTTACTTCCTTTGTTCATGTTTATGTTCATACCTACACTTGTTATCTTGTACATGTTTGATAAACAAATAAATAAAATATAAATAAATAAATAAAAATTTAATCCATGTTTTATAAACCGTTTTTAAGAGGCTTTTCTCTCTTATCTTTACTTCTATGATCAGGCATATCTTTACTTAACTTCATTCTGATTTATTTCTAGTTTAATTAAAATAAATAAATAAAAAGCAAGAATGGCAAACATTAGTAGATACCGTGCATCCTTGCTTTCTATGCCACAGTAGAGCCCTCTATTACAGTTCATTTAATTTCATGATATTTATTTTTTATGTTATAGATATAAAATACATTTGGAGTTCTTTTTGTCTTCCTTTTCAACCAATAATTTGTTAAAGAAAAAGACAGAATGGTAGCCAAAGGCTTGAGGCCTTTGAATTATGGTGCTGGAGAAGACTCCAGTAAGTCCCTTGAACTGCAGGGTGATCAAACTGGTCAATCCTAGAGGAGTTCAACCCTGACTGCTCTTTAGAAGACCAGATCCTGAAGATGAAACTCAAACACTTTGGCCGCATAATAAAAAGGAAGGACTCACTGGAGAAGAGCCTAATGTGGGGAAAGATTGAGGGCAAAAGAAGAAGGGGATGACAGAGAATGAGGTGGATGGATGGGAGCAGTTGGTATGAGCTTAAATGGAGTTCGGGGGATGTTAGAGGACAGGAAGTCCTGGAGGAACATTGTCCATGGGGTCACGATGGGTCGGACATCACTTTGCGATTAATAACAACAACAACCTTCTGATAAGTATCCCTAGGAACTGTCTTTCTGGAGCACTTCTACATTAAATAAACAGATTCATTCACATGGGATTGACAGGCTTAGTTCACCCTCATCTCTTCAACAAAATGTGTCAAGCAGGGACATAAAGTGATGGGGAAAGTATATGGAATAGGCAGCTTATTTTGGCATCCAATATTGCCTTAGTGGTGCAGTAGATTTTTTTTCTGGACTGATAGCACTAGAAAAATACTGAGGCAGATACTGAAGCAATTACAAATATTTGTAATTGCCATTTTTAATTACTTCTATGTCCCTGTCACATAAAAATATCAAGGATGATTAATCCTCAATTTGTTTCTCATTGCTGTTACAGAGGATAGGAGACATCATTCACAGTAACACTGTTTCCTCCCCCAACTCCTTCCTTTCCCACCTAGAATTGGTTGCCTCCTCTTTATGTTAAAAGGATGTCCTGTAGCTTTAACTGCAGTCTGAAAGCTGATTCTCCTGGTATTGAGATAAAGTGATAGGAAAAGACTGGTCAGCTCAATTTTGGCATGTCAATCTGTTATTAAAAGCACAGGAGCAGAACCATTTTTAAAATTTCCCATCAACAGTAAATTGCATCTCTTTCTTGTTATGCTAAGACTTTAATGTTCATTAACATTTTCTGACATTACAGCAGCTCAACAACTGGTGAAATCTTTTTTGCCACAATAAATATTAAATCATGTATTGGTTCAGGTGCTACAGCTCCAGTTTTTGCCTTGAAACAGACAGGCATGTTCTGAAGACACTAAGTTTTCTGCTTCTCCGCTTCTTTTTCAGAATTAAGTCTGGCAAAAGAGATAAAATGGAACTCTAACTTGGTCCAATTCATTATTTAAAATAAATGGCACCATTGCAGTGATGCTAGTGCAAGTATCTGAAAATTAGATTTGGTTCTTGGATTCTGAATTTGGCCTTTTGATTTCAGTTTAGAAAAAAAAATCAGTTGAATAAAGAATTCAGATACATAAAAATTTTGTTGCTTTTTATATGGAATCATTTTTGGATATGAGCAAAATGTTCACTCACCTATATATTAAAATATGTTGGGGTTTTTATTTTGCCTTTTAATTGGATGACACTGACAAGTTTGTCTTTTTACTGAAGTAAAAAGAACAGTAAAAAGATTGTTCATTTTTTAACTATTCCTCAAAAGACATGCCCAAGAAGGGGCAACATTTGGCACTTGTTTTTCTGGCAGGGATGGGGAAAATAAGCAGGGAAAATAAGCAGGGAAATTCATCAAATGGGGGCCACAT